ACAATTTATTTTTCTTCTGATAGACAAAAAAATGTTTATTGCATGAAACACCATTTCACAAATGTTTGATACTATATTTGATCATCATTTAACTTAAAAGTTTGTCAGAGTAATATATTTTTGTAATGTGCAGAACAAGACAAAATGGTCTCTTCATACCATTCTGTCTGGCAAAATAGTAATTTTATGTAATTGTGCTTCTTGTACTTTTTTAGAAATATCAGAGGTTGTAGATCAGCGGGAGATGCTCTAACAATACAGCATTTTAACTATTAAAAAACCAAAACCTAAAAAACCCCAAAGTATGTGCTGAAGTCAAAACCACATAAGAAGCAAAGAAAAATGCAAACTGTGATGTAAAGTGTGGGCTCTGCAGCATACTTTAACCAAAATGTTAAAATTAATTTTTTTTTTCCCATAAAAATCTCTCCCCCTGGGGTTCCATTTGCTAATGTGTTCCGTAAATTTTTTATGCATGGTAAAATAAGAATATTATTTTTTTATTTTAAAAGAGAGCATCCTTACAGACATCTGAAATTTGATCTCTCTATTAGAAATGGAAGCGTTTCAGTACGTAGCCAATCTTGTAAAATCAGCAATTTTGATTGTGTAATAGCTGAGTTTACAAGACACACAGATGTGTACATTCATGAATTGGACTATTGAATCCTGAAGTGATTAGTAAAATCTTCACCTGCCAGCTTTGAAAAAGCAAGTGTGTCTTCAGAAGCTTTCTTTAGCCATTGGGGAGTGAAGATTTGTCAGATAAATTATTGGGCATTACATGTGGTTCCTGATTTTGCAGAGGCTCATCCACATACTTTACTTCACATGTGAGTGGTTCTTTTAGTCTGTTGACTTCATCTCTACACAGAGATTAAATAAATGGATTAATTTTTTTTTAATACTTCAGACCAAAATTTTATTTCATAAGAGATGCAAGTCCACTTTCATTGCCAGAAATATGCAGGAAATTATATTTAGCGTTTCTGTTACACTTGGAAGTATTTTAAAATACTACTTTTTAATGTTGTTTGATGACTTCTCCTGCGTAAAGGGTTCTTTGTATGAACGGACGTGATTACTGTAATTTAACCAGAACAGTTTAAAGAGATCATTTTAATTCTTAGAAGTGGACATTCTTAGAACTTAAACAGGCTGTGGAGTGTTGGTGTTCTTTGGGAATACCTAGGGAGGGTCTTCAGGAAAATCTTACTGTTCCAGCTGTTGTAAAGCTTTCTTTGTTGTTGTAACAATGAATTTCTGAGGCTAAAAACTGGTGGGTGGCAACCCATATCTCATTTTATTTGCCTGCGTTTATCAGTAGTTTCTGAATATGATGACAAAATCCTTGAGTCTTACTTTAACTTGCGTCATGTTACCTGAAAATACTTCAGTTGCTCTTTGGAAGCAATTCTGACTATAGTCAGCCTGTCCTAGGGTAACAACTGTGATTCCCTCCCCCTGCCCTTTTTTTTTTTTAAAGAGCTGTGATACAGGCGTGTTTTTGCTGAGCTCCTGGTTCATGTATTTTTTACGGACCATTCCAATACATAAATGTGTATGCCAGAGTGTAGTGAAGATGGTGGGTGTTTGTGAGGAGGCAGGCTGGAGACTGCTTTTGCCAGGTAGGAAGGTGACACTGTGCCTTATGAAGGCAGAAGGTAAGGCGAAATAGGGCTAGCAGTAAAATGAGAAACCTCTTTATACATTTATACGACCTAGTAACCCAGTACGTCTTCTGATCATCTAACACCAAAATATCTTCTTCATGCCTGGTTTGACTGCTTCCAAATGCAGAAACTCCTGGAGCTCACAAGAATCTCTAAGCATGTTCCAACTGAGTTCTCCCCAGGTAGCGGAGGGGCAGGCACAGCCCTCCTTCCCCTTCGCTTCCTTCCCTCTCCAGCCCAGAGCAGAAGCTTCCATACTGACTCTTTTTCACATCTAACTACAGATGCCTAAAAATTGCTTGGTGTCGGGTACACCTCATGCCCTCTAACCCGAACCATGCCTGTGCTTTTAAGGTATAGTCAATAATTTTTGCAGCCTAATAGTCAGCTCCGAATGGAGCCGTTACGGTTGTTGGAGTGACGTGACATGAATCGTGCCCAAAGTAGTGCTACCTATCTTGTTATCCTAGAGATCTACAGATACATTTGTGAGGTTTGGAAATATTTGAAGATACTATTTGTTGTGCTCTTATATGATGTTTCCTGTGTTTGAAGAAAGACTTCTTTTAAGTTGAAAAATTTTCCTAGTTCCTGTCTGATACAGTTATCTCTATCAAAAATAAAGGGTTTCTGAAAGGCATGCTACTGTAATATGAGTTCTTACGCTGTCTCAAAGAAAAGTGGACAATTTTGTACTTCAGGATTTTATACTGTGGAGTTATTCCAAAAATACTTTTGTTCCACTGTACTGTTAAAAATGTCACCAATGACCTGCATCAAAGACCTCAGTGAATTGTCCCTATTTAAATGCTTTGAGTGCAGCTCAGATAACAGTCTGTTCTTAGTTCATATGCTTTAAGTACAAATATTTTTAGTATATGTGCGGGTGTATTTTTATATTAGTGGATAAATCAGCTTGAACAGTAGGTGTTTATAACTAAGCAAGGGGGTTTTGTTTTGGTTTTTTTTTAAATGTAAACTGTTGCAGAAATTTCATTGCATCCTGTTGCAAATTCCAGTATTATGTAAAGAACTAGTATTTAATTGGTTAATTTCTGACAACACAGAGCTGTCTCACATTTCTTTCACGGTTTTTTGTAAGTAATAAAAAGAAAAAAAAACCCAACCATTCTTCCTTGTCCCCACTAATTCTTATCATGTAGTTTCTCTAGTATTTGCTAAAACTCATTATATTAGTAAGGTATATGGAAGTGATTCTAAGCTTCCTATTTTTACTTGTTAATGGAAGTAACATTTGTACATTTGGCATGTAAGTACTTTGTTGTAGTACAATAATCCTATCCTATAAATATAATTATTTCTCAAAATACTCGTATTTAACTTGTGATTTGAATCACTGTTGTAATTCAGAGTATTAGATGTTATCTTTTAGAACCAAATAGTCTCAAAAAGTTTCTGAACTTAAAAAACCCCTGAAAATACTTTATTAAAAGCGTGCTGCTTTGCAATATTTTCAGTGTGACTTTTTGGAATATTTTTCCCTTTTGTTTCACTGGAGTGGTAAATCACTGTCATAGCACTGTTTGAAAATAATAGCATAGCTAAGAATTTAAAGAAAACTGTTTTAGTAAAATAGTGAAAGTTGAGAGTAAATGTATCTGTAATGTTTGAAAGAACAAAAATTCTGATTATGGTAAACGTACAACTTTATGTGTATCCCTATAGACATGCCAGGGTAAGAGGGAGTTCTGACTGATACAGACCACCAATAAAGCTGATGCTCTAAATGTACACAGATCTAACTAAATTAAATTATTTATAATCTTAAACCTTGTCAGTATTTCAAGGAAGTCAAACTAAAATGTGGATGCACTGATGAAATTATTGTGCAGTATGTTTTGGAGTTACATCCATTATACAAATGTAGTTGTCTTTCTGTATACAGTTGAGGTTGGGGTTTTTTTTTACAAGCGTACATAAGAAGGCTACAAATACTGTTGAAGAAAAATAGCAGAATTCAAAATTAATTACTTTGAACTGCATATGAAAATGTATACTGTCTAAATGTTTGTTGGTTTAGATATAACTTGCTATATTTTTTTTTTTAATTGTCAGAGCTCTGCTTGTTTTCTGACCTGTGTATTTTAAGTGTTTGGAGAGTAAAACCACATAAATATGACTTAAATAAGAAAATTTAAATATTAAATGGAAAAATGCATTTAAATACTTTTTCCATATACATTTTAGGAAACATATGAAAAATTGCTGAATGTTCAGAAATATCAAGACCAGCTGATAGCTGAAGACCTTCCTCAGAAGGAAAAAAAGTAAGCTTCCAGTTAGATTGAATATTAATACTAGTTTTCTTAAAATGCTTCAATATGTTGTTTTGGCACTTCTTGTAGTTCCCCACCCTACCCTCCTTTTATTCCACAAACACATTTTTCTGACTTTTTCCCTATTCCTTGTCTAATTTGTATGGTATTTTCAGGTTGAAAAGTCTTACCTGTAGTATGTATGTGTGGAGTGCTCGCTTCTTACTGCTAAAATAGGGAAACCCTGCCTATTTCTCTTGCTCTTTATTCTCTCCCTGCTCTTTTTGATATTCTCTCCTATATAGAAGTTCTGAAGTGGGATTTGAAAGTCAGGAGAGACTATCCAGATTTCTGTGTTTCTGTATATGAAGTTTTCTAATTATTTCTTTATTAAAGCTTTTTTGAAAAAGGAGGTAAACTCTTTATAAGAAAACAAGGCCTTTTAAAATGCCAAATAAGTTGCTTATCTGTTGGAAAAATCCTAAGGCCTAAAGCTGAGCTCTTTAATAGCCTTTCATTAATTACAGTTCTTGAATATTTTTACTTGCCAATATTTAACTTGAAGAGTATCAAAATACTTAATTTCACTATTTTTCTTCTAATGGTTTTGAATAGCTAAATCATCAAAAAGTATAGTAATTTTAGAAAACTTTATTTAGTTTGATTTGTTTAAATATTACCGTTATTAGTAATTTAATTTAGTTTCTCTTCTTTTACTACTTCTCTGGTATGCACAGCAAGCTCTTCAGCCAGTTAGCCACTGGACAGAAGAGATACATCTCAACCAGAAGAAGCTATGGGAGATGCTCCAGTTGTTAGTTTCTTAGTGCGTACAGTCAGGGTTGTCTTTGCAATGGGTATATGCTTTAAGCACTGTTTGCTTCTCTCAGGCTGTATTCTTGATTTTCTATTTTGAGATTTTTTTGCAAGGATTTTATGATATGTTAGAATATTAAATTAAGCAAGTCTTTGAAAGAAATGGATACAGCTAGGAAGTTTTGATTTTGGCCTTTACTGCTTTTCTGTATAGTTACTTTTTCACTGTCCGAGTCGTTTTTATCTTTGTTCTTGCTGTGAATTTTCTAACCGGATTTATGTGCTGTTCCAGTTGCACATCATGTTGGTTTGTCATTTCTTAATTTCAGCCATTTGTTATTTATGTTAGGAAGAGAAAGGATTAATTTGCTGAGATTATTTCAATTTCTTAAATAACAGAAGTTCATGCTTCTTCATGATATAAGTAGTGTCCTATGACCCACAGGACGTTTTATCATAGATTCACGTTAGCTTCTGAGCAGACAAGAGAACAAATTAATTTAGTTTCTTGGTGTATGCTGCTGAAAAATAACCTGACTTCTTACAGAGCTCAGCCAGTGGATTTACTGATGTGAAAAATGACCTAAAGCTAGCCAGAGTTGAGAGGTCTTTTTTCCCTGTTAGGTTTGTAAAAGCTCAAAGAATGTAAAGGATTTTTGAGACTTATTTTCCACACTGGATATGTGGTTTCTGCCTGCGTGCCCTCCCTGCCCCCCCGAAAATAATCTATTCTGGACACATTCTATAATACTAACTGTAGGCTGTAGGGTTAGGACGTGATCTTGAACTATTTTATAGCTTTACACATGTAAAAAATTTCATTGACTTCACTGGAAGTAGCATGTGAATGTAAGTATATACTTCAGTCTGTTAGGATTGGAAAATTTTTAAAATTACTGCCTAACAGTAATTACTGTTAAAACCAGCATTGTTTCTAAACTGAAGAGGTAAGAAACTAGTTACAGCTTTGCCCTAAATTTACCTGATAATGTTGGCATGTATATTTATGGTGGCATTCTGTTCAGTTGGTCACTTTGTATCACATATTTCACAAAGATTTATTTCAAGCATTGGTTTTTCTTTGTGTTAGCATCTCTGTATGAGGTTGTCGTCGTAGAAATTTTTGCTTTTGCTGTCATCAGTGCAGTTTCTGTGCTGAGCAGGTCAAGATTACACAGTAGGTAGAATACAGTGTGTCATTGCTGCATTAGTACTTTGACCATGCTTGCTGCTAGTGGAGCTTTTTGTATTGACCAGAAAAGTAAAGACCAGAGGGAAAATTCTGTTATTTTGGAATTTGATTTTAAAGTTCTGCCTTCGATTTTGTTCTTTGCTGCTTGTAAGCCAAATTTTTCGTAGTAGCAGGCTTTTAAAACTAAGTCATAAGTTGCGAGGAAGATCGCTTACTATTAGAATACTACTCTAGCTCAAACTTGGACTTCAATAATATGAATAATGCATAACTGATACTCACAATTTTCATGTGGTTAATTCAATACATGAAGTTACCATGCCTTTCAAAAGACAGACCTTTTAAAATCAATGTAGGCCTTCTCATGTTTATTATAGGAATGTGATCTCTCTTCATTTGTAATGGAAAATTTATTTCTGAACGAAGACTGTATGTGTGGTCCTTTGTGATGTAACTCTAATTGCATGGTTAATTAAAGGGAGAATATATGTGATATTTTAAACAGAAACCTGGCTGGCAGCAGATGGCTGACTAAGATTGAATTGGAAGAAATGTTGTTAGAAAAACTGTCAGATGATGATGTAAGTAATTAATCTTTCTCATCTTAAGGAGGCTTGCATCTGAAAAATACGGATTCTGGGTGCATTTTTGGATACTGAAAGGGTACTATGAAGAAGCAGGTGCTCTTCAAAAGAATGATCTTCCTTCTTATAAAGTCTATATATGCTCACAGCACTGTCACATTCATGTTGTCTTGAAAAGTGACCTGTATTGCTTTTTTATCTAGCACGGTACAGAACTATTAAGGGTTTTCCATTGTTACTAACATAGTTTTTCTCCTGGTAACATTGTGAGGCCTAGAGCACTTGTTCCTTGTCATCTAATTATGTAGTCAGCAATGCAGTGTAGTAACACTACATATAGAAACAAATAGTCATTTATTCTAGTTACAGATGAAAAATGGACAGGGCTAGAACCTCTGTTGCTTATTGTGGAGAAGGGGTAAATGTTCAAGATGGGAAGCACGATGGATTTGTGTAATGGTAAACCTGCACAGTTTCTGATTAAATAATCTTAAGGAGGACATGATAATGGTAGAAAAGTCACAGAGAAGGCTGATCAGAAATAAGGATTCCTTTTTCTTAGTGATTGGCTACAGAACCAAGTATCAGAAACAAGTTGTAAAGCTACATAGATCTGTGGTCTGATACAGATATCTCTTGTTATATTCTCCTTGATATGAATATGGTGGGAGAGAGGAGGGTTTTGTGGTTTCCGCAGTGTCTGCAAACTGTATCACTGTCTAGATTTGGATTCCTTCTTTACATGTATCTCTGGGAATAAAACTATTCATCCTGATAGTCATACATTTTTTTCTCACTCAGGTATTTTTCTTACAGTCCCCTAAATAGCATTAGATTTTGTAACAGCAGGTTCAGTCTGTGGCCAGTTTCAGTTTTCTTTTGGATGTTTAAGCTTGACTATGATAGTACCAGAGAATATAACACTATTTGTCTGAGCATCCTAAGTATTTTCTCACCTAGAAACAGTGTTCTTCAGTCTCTTCTGTCCTGTGGACAGCATCATTGCAAAAATAGCATAGCAGCAGCAAACATGCCCTTTGCTCACTTGTCATCCAGAACAGTAACATGTGATGGCTTCCTTGTCTGTGGGTGATGTGAAAAGGTCTCAAGCAGGCTGTGGTCCGTAAGCATAAGTTAGAAATCACTCTTGTAAATTCTTCATCCTGGTATACCCAGGAGACTTCTTCTATCTTGCTTGCAGTAGAAGCAGTTATGACTTCAGTGTTTTCAGTATCTCCTGCATTTGAATGGCTGTTTTTCCTCTCAAGAGTGCCAGGAACCAGTCTAGTTGTACAACCAAACAGTTTGGTGTTCTTTACTGCTTGGTGTTTGTACACTCTGCATCTGTAAAAGTAGACAAGTAGACTGCAGTAAACTTAAACAAATAAATACACCCCCCCAAACTCCCAAACCTTTTACATACTGGCCTCTCGCATGTAAAACCACAAAGCCTCAGCCTATAGGAACAAACATTGTTTAAATGTATTTGAAATGTCTCTGTACGAGCTACCAGTCTTACCTGCTCAAATTCTTATATTTTGCCATTGCAACAAAATTTTCCGTGGTGTTTGCATTATTAAACAAAATCAGAGCTATTGATTTCTTTTTCCTTTGCGGTCTGCAAGTGAAAACTGTTGAAAGCTTTCTTCATCTGTAGCCTCTATAATTTTTAAATTTTTCTATTTTTGCATTTCTGCTCTTCAAAGGCTTTACCACATGCCTGTGTCACATCGTTAGGCAGAAGTCTTTCTAAGTGATGTCAGAGTTCCAGGGCTATTGCTAGGTTCCAAGAAAAGTATTCATTTTGTGCAGAAGACTCTAGTAACAGAAGAAAAAATACTTTTAATAAGAGTTTGCGAGTAAAGAAAACTTGAAAAATAAGGTTATGATATCTATATGAAAAATGTATTTTAGATGATAGTATACCTTTATATCCAGTGACCAGCTGTCTAGTGCTCCTGCCAGTAACACTTCATAAAAAGACATGCCAGCTTTTAGCACCCTGTGAATGGGTTAACGCAGTGGTGTTTAGTCTTTAATCACATGTTGAAGAACTTTGGAGGGCGGTGTAAGGGGGAAGGAGAACCACACAGTAGCAAAGGATAATTTATTTCAAGAGGTTGCCCTTTAAGTCAAGTATCTCTTGAATTTTTAAATAGCTTGATTGTTCAGTTTTAAAGGAAATCATAAACATTAAAGTAACTCAGCTTGAACAGCCAAAGATAGATAGATAGGTATTTCCTGTATATATTATGAAATATAATCATTTAAGAGGTTCAGTTTAGTGAAATAAAATTATTTCCAAGTCAATGAACATGCTGACTTGCTGAAAATGAGGTGAAAATAATTTCCTTTTGCCATTTTAACAAAACAATAGTAAAAGAATGAAGACCCCCCCTCAATGTTTTCTTTTTAAAAGTGAAATGAACTTCATTCTAATACAATAATGCTGTATTACAAAGAGGTTGGTTATGCTTTGAATTAAAGTTTCATTGTTGCTGAAGAAAGAACTAGGTATCTTTAGTCACACAGAAAATGATACATCTGCACGCTGTTCTTAAATCAGCATGTAGGTGCAAAAGTGTCATCTTGTCAGAAATCATCAATAAAGGTGAAGCAGGAAAGATCATTTATACAAAAATAGAAAGTTTTAGCAAATGCAATTACACTTGCATCCTTTAATGAAGTCTTGTTGTCTACAGTATTCAAGATTTATTCAACTCTTAAAAAAATTGATGACGTTGCCATGTGGTGACATCGAGGAGAAGTATATACAAAAGTTTTCCAGAGAAGTTCCTGTGCAGTTACAAAAGGTAGTTATTGAGCCCTTGAAGTATGATGAGCGAGGTGTGGCCTTCAGCACCGGTGAAGGTAATAATTTCAAGTTGGTTGGTAATGATGCAGAATTTTTTCTTCTTCACACTACTTTATAGTATGTACAACACTGCTGAATATGTCACTACTTCATTTCATATGCTTATGTGTATACTGCATGTATAATTGTTAATCACATTATGGCATACTAAGTTATGACATGGCCTGGTAACAAAGTGGAAGTTTTTGGCACAGAGTCTATCAACTGTTAGTTTTTACCTGTATTTCTGTACAGTAGTACCTCTGTAGAGAGGACCCTGTTGTGCTACATGTTGTAGGATACAAAAGGACTTTCATTGGTGGCAAGAGTTGACTCTTGAACGTAAGGGGAGGGCGACTGGGGGAGCACAAACACATGTGGAGAATTCCATGGATGTAACAGTGTTGTTGCTTAATATGAGTGGCATGCTTAGACCTCGAAGTAAGTTTTATCATGACTTTTGTAGGCGGTCCAGCAAAGGGGAATTTCGAAGACTTTCTGGACAAAGCATATGTGCGTGCACACACCTTATATCTATGCTGTACATTTAAGAGGAATCTTAGACAGAAATGATGTGTATTCTTAAGCAGCAGGTGATAATAAGAACAAAGGTCGCAGCGAATTTGAAGGGCAAAATGGCTGGAGAGCTCTGTTCTAGCTGGGTTGGCTTCAAGATGACATGATAACAAGGAGATGTGAGAGTGCCAAACTGGGATTTAATCCGCGCTTGTTTTCAATAGTGTCTTCAGAACAGTAGTTATTGAAGTTTGATAAGCATGCAACCCGTGTTATTTAAGAAAAGCCATCAGATTTTGTAAGTTCAAGAACAGTCTTGTTTGTGTCCCATCATCCCCCTAAATTAAGAAGGAGGTCTGATTTGTGTCATAATTCATTTCTCAGAATGATTGCTTCCTTTGTGCAACAGAAGATTGGTCTTAGGCTTTAGCACAGAGAGTTTGTCAGGGTTTAACTTGAAGCTAATGCACTTAGAACTAACTTTAAGTAGTAATTTCTGAGGAAACTATGCTAAATGATGCATAGGCACTGCTTATACCAGTATAATTAAAGTGTTAACCTTTTCCATGTGAATATTCTTAAACTTCTGTACCTTTGTATGATTTTTATAAAGTATTTTAATATTACTAGAAATTGTATTTATGGTAAACATACATGTTCAACAAACTGCTTATTTTCATATACTGTGACATCACCAGGTCAAGAAAGTGTCCTGACCTACTGAAGTTATGGGAGGTAGTGTTACCTCTATCTCCTTCCAACATACACTTCCCCCCTGCCTTAATAGACATTGCTTAAAATATATTGATAGCTAGTTGTTCATTGTTTGTATTTATTTCCTTCTCTTAGTCTTTTTTTGTTACCTTCGCCTCCAAAAAGAAACAGCTGGTACTGTATAAAGTGTTGAGATTTGCTTAACTTCTTGGGCACTTGAAATTCGGTAGAATATTGAAGCCTCATAACAGATTGGTTTTAATTCCTTTAAGGTACAAGAAAAACAGCAAGAGCTACTGCAGTAGTTTATGACAATGGGACTGGAAAAATTACAGTGAATGGAATAGATATTTTACATTACTTCCCAGTGCTGCAGGACAGGTGAGAGCACTATGAAATGCTGTATTCTTACTGTACTTAAATTATTCCACCAAAAGTCATGCCATGCAATTATATTTTGGTGTGGTGTTCCACTGAGTTGATGCTGTGTTCTTGTTTCTGTATGCCTATCTGTTTCATGAAAATTGGTCTTGCTTTTTCCTCCTACTTTTCAGGAGTCAGTAGTATAAGAACTGATAGGTAAGCCTTGCTGTGTTTCTTGTCTGTCCCTTTCTGAAGGGATGCAGACCAAATTTTGGTCCACTTAAAAAGGGCTTGCAGTTTATTTTAAAAATAAATAAATAATTAAAAGTATCTTTAAGTGTTTCCTGAGGGATTTGCAAACTAAACTGTATGCATGTGTAATTACTCTGGCATACAGTAACATAGTGGAAGCAAACAAGATGAGACACTTCACGGAAAGCTTCAGATTTTGGAGGATGTGCACAGTCTGATAGAGAGAAGACTTCTCATAAGGCTGATATAAGAAGGTTTCTATCTCTTATGTGATTTTTATTTTATATTCTGGTTTCTGAGCTCAAGAATAGAGTGAGAGATTACTCTGTCTGAATATCCAGAGCTGATGGATCTTGGCATCTATAGATAATTAGTGAAACAAAAGTAACTGTAAAACTGAACTTAAAATACTTAACTTTGGCAGTTCGAATATGCTCCTAGCTGCTAATTTCCCATTTATTTAGTTGGTATCAGTAGGAAATCAGAGATACAAATGCCTTTCTGGATCTCTGCCTGAAAGAGTTAACTATGTTTTTATATATACTATGGTAAGAAATGTACATAGCATGTGACTTTATATACATGTATATATTTAATTTTTATTGTTATGATTATTTTTTTATTTTTAGAGAGCAGTTGTTGTTCCCTTTCCAGTTTCTTGACAGAATTGGAAAACATGATATGGTTTGCACAGTCTGTGGTGGAGGAAGATCTGCACAAGCTGGAGCAATACGTTTAGCATCTGCAAAAGCCTTAAGGAGTTTTGTGACAGAAAAGGAGGTGGAATTCATGAGGCAAGGTAGGAATTTAAATTATTTCAATGTTTCTTAATGTGTTGCTGGTAATTAACGGAATTAATACAAGGATCATTAAGGATCAGATAGTGCAAATTTTGAGTAAATAATCCCAGTGAAACCTTGCATTTCGTATGAAAGGATCTGCATTTATTTATAAATTGTTTTCATTTGTTTCCTACCATCCTTTGTGTACATTTTGGATGACTTCTTGAGCATTTTTCTATCTGTTCATAACCTCTCTTAGGTCTGTTAACCAGCTTATATCGCCTCAACATAGAATCACAAAACATGAATGTATATTCACTAACAAATAAATCTGATTCAACTGTTAGTGAGCTGTAAGGTACTAAGATTGTATTTTGTTTTACTTGGTTATTCACATCTTGTTCATGTTTAAAAAAAAGTTAACTTAAACACTAGAGGGTTAGCTTTGAAGGGATAGTAATGAGCATAAACATATTACATGCAACTAGCCAGACTGAAGGAACTTCTTTCCTCTCTTGCTTTAGAGTTTACAAGTTACCTAGGATAAGATAGAACTTGTTTGGATAACTGCAGTGTTTGGTGCTTCTCAGTGATTAGATGTGATACTGTTTCAGCAAATACAGAATTATTAACGGTGAGCTTTGAACTATGTTCTTTCTGGACTAGTAGGGAGAATACCTATGTGTATTACTGGCAAAAGAGTTATGATTTTTTCGCTCTGTTGCCATCCGTGGAAGTAAAGCTATCTTCATGCTAGTGTCTTTGCAATAAGTTTCTTCGATTATAGTGTTCCAGTACTGACTTGCTAGGAATACCCCTGTAAACTGACATTGTAGTGAGTTGGGTGTCTGTAAGATCATCAGCATTATTCTGAGCATGTTTTGGACATTGACAAATATACTTTGGAAATACGAAGCATACTTTAAACCAATGGTCTCTGAAGTGGGATGTGTGCACCCCAGTGGTGTGCAAGATGATCTGTTGGGGTGCAGGAGGAAAATCTTAGAATTTCAGTAGTGTATGTCATTTGTAAATGAATAAATACACATATGTTGGGGGTGCATGCTCAAAAATATTTTACTGATAGGAGTGCACAATCAAAACAAGTTTGGCGACCATTGCTCTAAAAGCTTAAGCAATATAGGTATAAAACAATGTGCGATTCTTTTCACTGGTTTGTAAAGTAAAATGTGAAGAAAGTTCAGTTACTAAGAAAAAATGTTAGAGGATCTGATGAAATTACTTTCAATTGTCTTACACTGAACCCTTATCTTTTTAGATGTTACAATTCATATGCAAAGTTATTGGCTGCCTTGAATTCCCCACATGTAGTATATCTGTAATATTGACTAATAACAGTAAACAAATGGGTGCTTTTCTGTGTTTTGTAGCTGGACTACTAACACTTGACCCACGTGTGAAGGAACGAAAAAAGCCTGGTCAAGAGGGAGCCAGACGGAAATTCACCTGGAAAAAGCGATAAGTCTGAGTATTTAAAGAACGACAGAATGCTACCAGAATTTCAAAAAATACTGAATTATGATTTAAAACTATTGTATAAATATATTTAGTAATAAAGACTTTTTCCATTATAAGTACTATGTTTTTTCTGTTTAAAAAGCAACAAACAACTTTTTTCGACGATTTTAAATAAATTTAAAGATTGTGGTGTGATTTGCCAGAACATTAAATCTAAAATAGTAGCTTGAGTGCCAGCTTTGCGTCTTAGCTCCACTGAAGTCAGTAATGATTTATGAAGCTGTTGGTGGATTATAACTTTTAAAAATCAGTCTATTTGTTTAGTGACTTGACTGTATAAGCTCTGGAATTCGGCAGCTCCTAAACGGGTATTTGGACAACTTTTCACATGCCTCTCTTTTTGCCTCACAAGTATCAGAGGATAAGTGACAGCTTCCCACCTAAACTACGGTGGAGTTGAGAAACTAGCGAGAATGGTACTGACAATTGAGGGGATGTTGAGAGGGGAACAGTCACAGAGGATAACCTTTGCCTGTGGAATCTGTTGTCTCCAGGATGCCCCCCTAGGTTAAGTAGGGAGTGATTCAGAGCAAATACCTAAATTTAGGTGCTCTGAATCACCCTCTGGAGGAGTCAGTTTTTCTCCTCTTCCCCCAAATGCAGAAAGAGCTGGAGGGATTAGGCTGAAGTTAATCTTTCAGAATACTCTTCTGCACCCCTTAAATCTCAAGGGGCCTGATCAAGGAGGCGTGTTCCAAATATGGCTAATGCACAAAGATAGCATTGGACTCTTTGCCAAATACAGTCATAACTTTTCTTTTTTAAAATAAGAAGCAGGAGGTGATGACAGTGCTGCCCACCTCCTGCCTATAATTGTAGCCTTCCAAAATAGATTAGTGGTTACAGCACTTGCCCAAAAGCGCAAGGTTTTGGTTTATTGCCAACTTCCTTCCTGGGACAGGGGTCAAATACGTAGAGCTTCCAAGGAAGAGCATATCCTTCATCTTTCCTGCAGAAACTTGGCTACAGCAAAAAAAGAGTATAAGGTTCATCTCACCTGGAGAAAGCAGAAAAAAAAATTCCACTCCATAATTTTAACAGGGCACCTTCCAACTTTCTTTTCATTTAGAAGATTTCAGTACTTGGAATTCTTCCTCCCCAGCCAGATTTTCTACATGCTAGAGTACCTGCCCTGCTTCTTACTTGCTGTAGATTATACCAAAAATATTACCCCTCAGAGGTAACAAAAGGTGCTAGCAGGTCACCACAGGTGATAAACAACTAAGTGGTGTGTATGGGTCATTGTTTTCCTGAGCATCATTCAAGAGGGAGTGGCAAGTAAATAGATGTCTTGAACTCAGTAAAACAGATAAGGTCAGAAACTGGGTATGCATCCTTGACTGATGTATTTCTGATTCCTTACTCCCCAAAGCCACTCTGTGCTTCTTTTTAACTCTCTCTTAATGAGAATACTCGGTAAACTTGGGCAAGATTTCTCATTGCTAAGGTAGTCTCAAACAAAATATGTGACTCCACAACTACCTGAAAGGAGGTTATAGCAAGGTGGGTGTTGGTCTCTTTTCCCAAGTAACAAGCAATAGGACGAGAGGAAATTACCTCAAGTTGTGCCATGGGAGGTTCGGATATTAGCAAAAATTTCTTCACTGAAAGGGTTGTCAAGCATGGGACCAGGCTGCCTAGGGAAGTGGTTGAGTCACCATCCCTGGAGGTATTTAAATGACATGTAGATGTGGTGCTTAGGGACATGGTTTAGTGGTGGACTTGGCAGTGTTAGGTTTACAGTTGGACTCAGTGATCTTAAAGGTCTTTTCTAACCTAAATGATTTTAGGATTCTATGACTTAAGTTGAATTCAACAGCTGAGGCAATTCACCTGACTCTTTGAAAAACAAATGGGGGTTACATGAGACATGTTTTATGCTAAGGCAAATACAAAATGGCTTAATTAACATTTCTGCTAATTTAACTATGAATTGTTTGTGTGTAGCAAAATAGCTCTGTCATGTTTCAGTAAAAGCTGTGACTTGTAATAAAAGCATTCAGTAAATATCCATGCTGGGACAGGTACCTAAGGATTATTTCGACATGCTCACATAACAAAATGTACATAAGCACATGGACTTAAATAAAGGTGGTAGCTGAAGAAGATATAGGAGGAGATTAAATAGTAGAATTTTTATCTTAAGACAAATGAAAATTGATCAGTTTGACCATATTCATTTTCCTACCTCATTATTAGGCAATAAAGCTGTAAGAGTGCAACAGCGTATCAGTACTTATAATAAGTCTTTTATCATGTTTTAAAGGATTTCTTAACATTTTACCTTCCAAAAAAGTATGGGTATGGCCTTTGGTGTTTAGACCCAGCAAAAACTGGAGAGGGTAAAGCTTTAGAATTTGTCACAACTTTTTAGGGAAGTCCCTGGAAATACTAGTTAATGCTGTGCAACCAGGTCACTTGCTTCATAGCTCCTTGCTCAGGCTTCCAACTGTAATTCTGAAACTGAGCCAAAAGAGACAAGCATTTTAAAAGAAAAAACTGAACTGTACATATTTTTTACATTTTTCACTTGCATGAAGTGCCTCTCAATCATCTGCAATCCAGGTCAGCGTTTAGGAGTTGGGAGACGAAATAATTCTATTAAGAAGGACTGTTTCTGTGGTGTTAAAGCTGATCAAAAGGTGAGACTAGCATTTTTTTCACTCATTTTTACAGATTCATTGGAATTGAAGTATCTTATGGGAGAACCAAATAAGGAAATGTAATTGGTGGTGTTAATTTTGGTTTGTGCCAGCGGCACAGTAGTAGAATCAGACTGTCCGTTTGAATAAGCTGTTTCAACTTCCCGTTCCTCTCATTCCCTTGCATTCCCAAGGTTATTGAAAGAAGTGGTCCTGAATGCTTACCTACTAACTGTGTCTCAGCCAGGCTTCTCAGGTCTCAACTTTGAACCACTTGCAGGGTGGACCAACTTGTCTTGCCAACAAGATTTCAGAAAAGGGTCCTGAATGTGACAGGTGCTTATACTTCAAAATATTTTCTGAATGTGGGCAAAAAGAAACAAGCCTATTGTGTATGTATTCATCCAGGCTCTTCTTTCTTCTCCACCACATTGATGTTTTGCTTGGAGACAATTTTGGTATCTTAACTCAAAGACAAATGGAATATACCTATGCCATCAATTTTTGGTAATTGTCACGTTTCTTTTGTGTTGAAACCAGTCAGTCAGAAGGTAAAGCTGTAAGGATGTTTCTGTTTTGTATTAATGCTGCTGTGTTACCACAAGATGGAGCAGTTTGCAATCTAATGAAACAGGCTG